CTGTGTCAGACATATTTGCTTTACCATGAGGGGCTCTATAAACTCTGTATAGGCCCTTCATGTTGGTCAATTTCACTTTACTCGTATATTTATTGTATTTTATTTAATACATGTAAAATATTCCAGTTGCCGTGCTGCCCGGAAGGGAGTGAAAGATTAGGAAAATGAGTGAAGAAAAGGGGTAGGGAGAGAGATTAAAGAGAAGGAAGGAAAGAGAGAGAGAGAGAGAAAAAAAAACGAACAAAGGGGGAGACTACAGTGGGACAGAGAGTCTAAGAAAGACAGGAGTAATGTAAAAAGCACATAAGAAAAGAAAAACAAACAAAAAAAAAAACGCATTTGAAATACAACCAAAAAAGGATAAATACAAAGACACAACCAGAAATAAAGAAAATAAAACAGATACAGACATACAACACACATTGCGTGTGCTTGGAAGGGAGCGTGGAGGTGTATTTGCATGTGTGTTCATCTGTTTTGTGGAGGTGTTTGAAGACGTATGCGTGTGTTGGGTGCATGTGAATTTCTCCATGGAATGCACTTGATAGCGAGGGTGGGGGGCCGCAACCACACTCCACAAGAACCAGAGGCCGGCGGAGACAGGCCCAGGAGACCCAAGGCGTCCGCAGCCCCCCAAGAGCATGGAACAGCCAAGGCCCCACGTCCCCACGACAGCCGGGTCCCCACCCCAGCAGGAGGAGGAGGGAGGACCCAGGCGCAGCCCCCGCAGCCAAAAGGGCACGAGCCCCAGGGAACCAGAGGCAACAGGCAGCCGACCCCGCGAGGTTGACGGCCGCTCCCGCACGGGCCAAGGCCAGGGCCAGGACCCCAGGCGGCCGGGAGCCAACCAGCCCCCGGCAGAGAGCCCCACCCATGCCGGAGAGGCCCGAGCCCCCCCCCAGGCCACCACCCGGGGAGGAGGGACAGCAACCATGCCAAGGAGGCAGCCGCGCTCAGGAAGGAGCAGCTAGTCCCGGACCCAAGCCCACACTGCCCACACAGACACCTCGCAGACACACCTCTCAGCCATACACATAGACCATACACCCACTCACACAACATACACAGACGCATACACAGAGACAAAAAGACATAAGCCCATCCACTCCGGACCGCCCTCCGCCATGCGGGGGAAGGGACGCCACCCCCCAGCGCCAGCTGCAACCCCAGGGCGCCGCCAGCCGGACGACTACCCGAGTGCCCCGCCACCATCGCGGGCAGGGAGCAGGGGTGTAGGAAGACCCGCCCACTCTCCTCCTCCACGCACCGGTGTGAGAAGTGAAGTGTTGGATGCATGTCTTGGTGATTGTGAGTGTATGTGGTGTAAGGGATGAGTATGACTGTTGAGAAACTTAGACGGATTTAAAATTTACGGGGGAAGCGCGGAGGAGCGCTGCTTGCAAACAACTCTCCTCCCCATCACCCCCCCGCCAAGACCCTCAATGTATATGGTGTAAGTAAAATTGAGGGGCGGGCAGCAGTGAAGAGATGTTATTAACATACTGAGGGATAGCCTTGGTTTTAGGAGAAGGTAGATTGTGTTTCACTAATCTACTTGAGTTCTTTGAGGAAGCTACAAGAGAAACTGATCACAAAAAGGCATACGATGTGATCTACTTAGATTTCCAGAAGGCCTTTGATGCCCCCCACAAATGGCTCCTTTTAAGCTCAAAGCTGCAGGGATTTTAGGAACTGTAGCAGCTTGGATCAAAAACTGGTTAACAGACAGGAAGTAGCAAGTACTTATTACAGGCACAATGTCACAGTGGGCCTGTGTTCAGAGTGGGGTACCGCAGGGTGGGGTACCACTGTTGTTCCTAATTTACATTAATGATATTGACACCAATATATACAGTAAACTGGTTAAATTTGTAGACGACACCAAGGTGGGTGGTGTAGATTCTAACAGGTCTAGATGCTGTTCAACCAAATGGCTACTTCAATATTAGTTTAAATACTAGAACTTGTAGCCATAGGTGGAAATTAGCAGAACATTTTAAAATGGATTTGAGAAAGCACTTCTTTACACAGTGTGTAGTTAAGAGTATGGAATAGTTTTTCTGTTAGTGTAGAGCATGTTGAAACCCTGGGTTCCTTTAAATCAGAGCTAGATAATATTTTAACAACTCTGAGCTATTAGTTGAGTTCTCCCCCAAACGAGCTTGATGGGCCGAATGGCCTCCTCTCGTTTGTAAATTTCTTATGCTCCCATTAACTTTCTTGTGTGTGTAAAGGCAGGTGTCCCAATACTTTTGTATTATTGCCTATTCAATCTTCCTCATGTACATTATATATATATATATATATATATATATATATATATATATATATATACACACACACACACACACACACACACGTAATATATATTGTATGAGTATGTGTAGTCATATACGACCAGATATCCACGACGTCATATCTACTTTACATTTTTTTAAATGTTTCCTAATTTCTGTAAACGTCTTAGTTATCATCCTGCCTATTATAAGACCTGTTACAGAACAGTACTTTCTTTGTTTAAAGTAATTCAGACACCCCTCTGCATAAATGAGTCATTTGCCGCATTCCCTTTTGTTCTTACATTCATCCATCCATTCCTTACATTGAGTGAATGAATCAATGTGTTGTTAAACATTGATATCAAGTTATTGTAATAGTCCTAAGTTAACCACAAAATTATAACTTACAAATGTTTGAGACAATTCATCTCAAAAACCAACCTAGAATTAAGATGTGCTGTTTCTAACTTGGAATAGAACTTCTGTAAAACTTTTCTAAAAGTGTGGTGACGTGCGAGTGTAAATATCTGGCGACGTCCAACTAGAGGTGGGCGATAAATCAATTTTATCGATTAATTCAAATTTACAGTTCAGGACGATGTGTTTTTATGAAAATCGATTTTATTACTTATTTTACATGCGAGAAAAGCGGAGCTAATGCGACGCACCATTTGTCACGGGTAAATTAGGCCGCCGCACCCAAACACTCTACCGGATTCAAGAAACAACACGGCAATGGTTCGGTTTTGCACTGTCGGACAAAGACAAAAGAAGTCCTCGTTGCAAAGTCTGTTTAAAAACTGTTGCAACCAAAGGAAGCAGCACAATAAATTTATTCCAGCACCTAAGGCAGAGGCACACAGCGGAGTGGGAGAAGTGCAGCTTCCAGCGAAATGAAAATACCCGCAGCACCAGCACAACATCCAAAGTTAAGCAAGCAACCGTCCCTGACACATTTTCGAACTGTGTGCCATATGATAAAAATGGGGCACGGTGGAAGGTGATAAATGCTGTCGCAATGTATATTGCAAAAGACATGGTGCCCATGCATACTGTGGAAAAGCCAGGATTCATTAACATGCTAAACGTTTTTACAAGTTTCTAAAAGTGTTTACAATGGTGTGGTCTGCCATCTCACTTACAAGCATCTTTTTTGGTTTGTCAGATTGCACTTTAACTCTAAAGTAAAAAAAATAAGTTAAAACCATTTATTTGTCATCCGTAGTTTGATTTTGAGTAGGGGAGGGGAAATGTTGTTTTTTATCTCCTCCTGTTAAAAAGGCTGCTGTGGGAACGGGGTTATCTAGTTAGCTTTCCCACCTGGTCATTAATGATTGGCACAACGGTAGCGAGATGTTTATTATGCACTTAGTTTATTATCCGATGTTGTGCGTCAATGAATATAACGTAAGTATTGTAATTTCCTTTGCTACTTCGTGATTACGTTTACATTGTTTGTAAGACCACAACTGCCTTATATTTTCATTGCGCGGCGCTATTTATTTATGTTTCGATTATTATTAATTACCGGTTATCTAAGTAAACATTTAAACCGGTAGGTTTGTTAATGTAGCAAGGTTGATTTCTATGCGCTTTATTCCTGCTATGCTTATAACGTGTAATCCACCTTGTAACTACAAATCACCTATGTGATTGAATGTAGAGGTCGACCGATGTATCGGCCGGCCGATATATCGGGCCGATATTTGGCATTTTTTAATGTATCGGCATCGGCCGATATCCAAGTGCACTACGCCGATTTACAGACGGGCACCTCTGCGGGCAGCCCAGTGTTATTGTTGTTGTGGAACACATGGCCCATGCTGCTTGTGCTGGACCCCAGCCAGAAGTTCTGGAAGTGTCTTGGGAGAAAACGGTAAGATTTAAATTCTGATGTTGCAAAGACTTATTTATTTAACTGTTTTGCTATGAAATGTTGCTTTAAAAGAAAACGCGAGCGCTTTTGAAAGAGACCGCGAATTACGCTGTCGGGAACTTTTTTTTCTTGTGTCGGAGAGTTTCACTCTGTGTGTTTGTGGGACGAAGCAGGCAGCTCTCAAACACTGCAGCGTGTGTGAGAGTTGCGTTACTCTGCCCCAATCACAGACAAAAAAAACAGCATACAAGGCTGTGTACGCTATTTTACTTTGCATTATTTTATTTTATGCGATCGCTAGATTCTGTTTGTTAATTTCTCAGCTAATAACATAAACAACATGTTAGTGAAAGGTTTTGGGCTGTGTAAAACTCATGCCATGCTGTACTTAGTTACTAGCATTTTTTTTCTTTCAAAATGTGTTAGAGTGTAATCGTTTTAATGTGCATGGAATACTGGAATTGTAGAATGAATTGAAGATGATGGCACTATAATAAAAATGCTAACCTAGCATTTTTCTTCTGTTCTAGTAATTGTCTGATGGCTGAAAAGAAAGCAAATCCTTTGTGGCAGCATTTCACAAAGCAAACGCCAAGAAAAGCCAAATGTAATATTTGCAGCAGACTGGTGAGCTTGGGCGCTACAGAGGGAAAAAAGAAAAACACCACAAATTTGTGGAGTCACCTGAAGTGTCACCACCTCCAGGTTTATACAGATGCCCAGGAAGAAAAAGCAGCTGCATCTTCAGCCAGTTTAACACAGCCCACTGTAGCAGAAATGTTTGATGCTCAACGGAAATGGCATAATTCTGATCACAGGTCAAAAAAAATCGACACTTTAATTACAGAAATGATTGCCACAGACAACCAGCCATTTACAGTTGTTTCAGATGTTGGCTTTCGGCGGCTGGTGGCTGCATTGGAGCCCAGGTATACCCTCAAAACTGAGGAGCACTACCGCACAGCCATTCTGGATGATATAGTTAAGAGTTGAGAAGAAAATAAAAGCACTGATTGCAGAGGATGCTGGCCCCCATTTGTCTTTCACAACAGACTGTTGGTCTGGGGAAACCGAAGCATTGATGAGTCTAACATGTCATTTTATTGACAACAACTGGGAAAGGAAACAAGTTGTCCTAAATGTCAAGGCCATGTCTGGCTCTCACACTGGGGAATACATCAGCAGCATGTTCCTCAGCATGCTGAAGCATTGGGACATCAACCATGATAGAGTTGTGCTTGTTCTCTGTGACAGTGGTGCTAATATGGTTAAAGGCCTCAGACTAGCAGAAATACCTAATCTCAGCTGCAGTGCACACACAATACAGCTTGTGGTGACCGAGGGCATCAACAGTCAGCGAGTAGTGGTGGATATTATTGCCAAGTTAAAGACCTGTGCTAAACACTTCAACCACTCTGTGCTCGCAAAACAACATCTGAAGAGAATTCAAAAAGATCTTGGCCTCCCCCAGCACAGCATCATTCAGGCTGAACCTACCCGTTGGAACTCCACGCTACACATGTTGCAGAGGATGCTGGAGCAGAAGCCTGCACTGAACATCTACGCTGGAGAACATGGAAAGTTTGCAACCCCAACTGCGGATCAATGGGACATCATTTCAAATTTGATTGAGACACTGGAACCTATTGAGGAAGTAACTCTTGAGATCAGCAAGTCAGAGGCTTCCATCTCCAGTGTCATCCCAAGCATTGCTGTGCTGAAGATGATGCTTCAGCAAGAGGGTCCCAACACAAGGGGGATAAAAACACTCCGGGAAACCATGTTGCAAAGCTTGGAGACAAGGTTTGCTAAGATGGAGGAGACCAAATGTTTGGTGCTAGCAACACTGCTGGATCCTCGGTATAAGGGTCATGTCTTCTTTGCAGAGGACACACTGAGCAAAGCAAAACAATGGATAAAAGAAGAGCATGCCATTGTGTCTGAACATATGAAAACAGCCACTACTGAAGACCAAGGATCAGATCCGAAACAGAGAAGGGTGGAGGAGGAAGATGAAGAATTACCTGGTCCCTCTAGTCTTCTTGAACAAATGTATGCAAACATCTTGGGGGCTCATGGAACTCCTGAGGAGAGTGATGACGATCACCACATCTCTGAGCAGCTGGATCAGTACATCCGTGAGCCATTGATTGATAGACAGGCTGGTCAGCCACTGGGATGGTGGAAACAGAACACATCCCACCTACACCTTCTTGCACCACTGGCAAGAAAATTCCTTTGTCCACCCCCCTCCTCTGTTCCCAGTGAGAGAGTATTTAGTGAGATTGGAATGATCTATGACAAAGAGGAGTAGGCTCACAGGAGAAAATGCAGAACGTTTGTGTTTTTTGCACAACAACCTGCAGCTCTTAAACTGGGAGTACTAACAACTTTCAGTGAGGGATGGGTGGGAGGAGAAAGACTCAGGGACTGGAAGTGGGATTAAAATTGAACATAATACAAAAAGGAATGTGCATGTTTAAAAATGTTCCTTACCTCAAGAATTGCACTAAAAGATTATGATGCTGCTGTGTTTATTGTTTACAAGTTTAAGTTAGTTTAATTTTATTGTTATTGTTAAGTTTTGTTTTTGTTATTTAAGTTTATATTTATATTTAAGTCATTATTCAATAAATGGCAAGTTGAGAAATTTTGTGCATCTATCTTTGTGTTATTATTAGTGTGATATTTTACCTCCAATAGAGGGGGAAACGTTCAGTTATTGGGCAAAAAAATATCGGCAGCATATATCGGCCATCGGCTGACCCTGACTCCAAAATATCGGCATCGGCTACTGAAAAACCCATATCGGTCGACCTCTAATTGAATGTATTGGTTTTATTTCCACAGACCACACACACATCCATCTACATATCAGGTTTACCATTATTATTCGTTTCTCTAACCCATTATACATCCTGCTTCACAAGTTCCATTCAATAAATTCTGCCTTTAAAGTCATCCCCTCTGGAACCAGATTCTCTGACCGGAATCTTGTCCATATTGACCGCCTCTACCAGTAGTAAACTCCTACGTCAGTGTAGAGGTGCTACCCTACCCGACATTTTTGGTCCTTCGAGCCGGATAGAGAGCAACCACAAACAATATGGACAGTGCAGACAGGCCCCACAGAGAACGTCGCTTGCCTGAACGCCTAGCCGACTATGAACTGAGCTACTGCCCTTCAGAGGGTCCTCCTCCACCCGCTTCTCCATATGCTCAGAGCCCTTCCAGAAGCGACCTGAGGACACCACCCAGCAGAAGAGCAGCTAGCGTTAGGTCAGCATGTAGCAGGCATTCCTCAACCTCTGATGGACCGTCCATATCACGGGCCCTTTCTAGTATACAGACTGCTATTCTGGAGGAAAGGATGAAGCAGAAGATGCTTGAGGATCTACGCTATGTGTTGGAGGAGGATTCCTGAGCAGACATGGAATACCAACGGCTGCAAACCCAGGTCAAAGAAGCTCAGCGCATTCAAGAAGAATCTCTTCAGGCTAGAGATGCGCTGACTAAGCAACTGGAGAGACGACGCCGGTTGAAAAGGGCAGAGAGTGACCTTGAAGTAGCCAGACTTCGCACCTCACTCCTTACCATTGGCCCTGAGGCCACTGGAGATTACCCTTCACCACAAGACACACTCCATTCATCCCCTCTTACTCAGCACAATACTGGGATTCAACCCCTCATTCCTCCAACTACTGAGTGTCAGGCACCCTATCGGCCATCACTACCAAACCATGACCATCGCCTACCTGGTGTTCGAACCCAAAATATACATCAAGCTGTAGTTTATACTGAAGAGCCAGCTTCCAGTGTCCATCCCACCGCAGCTTATTCGAAGACAGCAGGTGGACATTATCAGCCACTGTCACCACCAGCGAGAACACCAGAGTGGGTACCCCTTCCAGCTGTAGCTCAAAGGGGCGACCAACAAAATGTGCCATCCTCCAATACTCAGAGCTCGCATTTGAGGCCCCCCCCAGTATTGAGTTACACAGCGGCAGTTGCACCACCATCTCAGCCGTTGCTGGCCAATCCATCGAGTTTGACAACTCTGTATAACCATCCACCTCATCAGCAGGCACTTCCAGCTTTCCCAGCTCCCGATCCTGGTTCCCAACCACCTCTCGGAGCAGATCTGCTGATTGCATCGGCATATGGCATCCCTAGGCCTAACCTGCCAATGTTCGAGAGCGGCAGAGAAAGCGAGTTTGCACTACTTAAGATGGCCCTAAATAACCTCTTGAATAATCATAATCACCTCAGTCAGCAGTACAAGTATCAAGTCCTACTCAGCCACCTTAAATTCCCCAGTGATCTTCAGCTGGCAAGAGCCTATATGCATGATCCACAGCCCTATACTGCAGCAATGCAAGCACTCCAGGAGAAGTATCGTCAGCCACGACAACTTGTGCAGTCGGAGTTGGGTGCTATCCTAAACGCACCGTCACTGAGAATGGTCAGGGGCGTCGCACCCGTGGGGGATGTGGGTGTTTTAACACCCACACTTTTCCCGGTGAGAGGGTTCAACACCCACACTTTTTCTACAGTTTTCCCGCAGTTTTGAACAAACGCCTTCGCATTCGCTCCTCCGTTTCTCTGGCCGCTCTGTGTCTACGCTCGCTTCAGCTCTCCTCTCCCCTCCCTCTCAAACATGACACCGGCTGATGATTGGCTGTTCTGCCTTAAGTCTTGCCTCTCTTGGTGTATTAGATTTATCGGTCAGCTCGTGCAGAGGAGGCGGGAACTTATGGTTGTTATGATTATTTACATCTCCGTTTTCCAGGTACTTTCCCAGATAGCAATCGTTATTGATTCAACATTGAATTATGGTCAGAAAGTTTGTTTTGTGGTTGAAGTTACAACTTCAACTTTAAATCAACATTTTTACAACAACAACAATTTCTATGTTGAAAATGAGCCATTGAATCAATGTTGACTAAGGGTCCTGTTTTCAACATTGAAACTTTGGAATACGTTATACCCATAGCAGAGAAGCAGAATCACTTCCTTGTTTTAAAAAGCTTTTAAAAATCACATTTCACTTTATTGTAAAGTACTTTGAGTTGCATTTCATGTATGAAAGATGCTATATAAATAAAGCATCTTCTTTTTCTCTTTAAACAAAGCAGTTTTTCCACTGCAATGCATGCAACATATTTGGATAATTAAGCAATTAAAATGATGTGGAGAACTTTTAAAAGTCGCTCTTAAAGGGAAAACACCGACATTAAATTACCAACGGAAATTAAAGGCTTGCGCTGTGCATCCCTGTTTTTATATAGCGAACTGGGTCACACCATTTTTTGGTGCGGGGGGCGTATTATACACATAGTTGTAGATAAATCACAGTTTTTTTAAATACATGAAAATAGTCTTATGTTACGTGTGTAATGTGTAATAGAAAAACATCTAAAGGTCATCTCTGGACAGAGACTGAACCGAAGAAGGAGCGCGCGGCCCCCTGTTCGGAATGTTCCATACTTTAAACCTTCCCCGCCAGCGCCATCGTGCATTCACGCCATCATTGTCTTTGAGGCTGCGAAGAGAGAGTGAGTTAAATTTGAAACTTACTCTTATACTGGCCGGTTCTGTGAATAAAAAAAACTGCTGTTATTGGGGCTGAGATGCTCCTCGAGCCTAGCCCGGTTGACGCGCACTTTACAGCCAGCCGGTGTCGTCAATGGCGAATCCGGTGTTCCGGGCAGTTCAGTTTCCCTAGGTTTCCCCTGTCGCGCGCTGATTTGTACACGGTTTCGCTGTTGTTTTCATGTCTTTTTACGAAGCTCTTGAGGTAAACAAGCCGTATATTTTAAAACATCACATGCCTTTTCGATGTTTTTTGTTTTTACAGATAATAAATTAAATTATTTAATTCGCTGGATAGGGATGTGAGAAATACTTGAAGTCTGCAGTGTGTCTTTCATGTAGTACAGTATAGTAGGAATGTTACTTTTCTTAGTTTCAGATAAGGTACAGTATGTTCAGATGTATTTCAGCAGAAACCTCATTAGTAAAACTATTGATGTTTGAATGAATATTGATCACAAACAGTTTCAATATTAAATCAATTAAAACAGCTGAAGTAATTCACCCCCCACACTTTTGAAAAGCTTGCTACGCCCCTGGGCGACGCCAATGCCTTTGATGACTTTGCCCTCTCAGTTCAGTCCCTAGTGGGCATGTTGCAGACCCTGGAGGGAGTGAACGGTTACGAACTCCTGGGTGGTTCCCATGTTGACCGCTTACTGTGCAAGATGCCTCCCCCCTATCGTGAGTTTTGTGGAATACTGTCTGAATCGAGGCATCCTTCAGACGGGCACAGACAAGACCTATACCCTTCCAGACCTAGCGGCTTGGCTAAAGATAAAGTCACAAGCTAAACGCATTGCCAGCCGTGCAGCTGCTATATATCAAGGTGACAATCACGTTCCCTTTCGGCAGGATCGACGAGCGACCCCACTAAAGCAGAAACCAACGCCCGTCTTACTTATGACTGAAAAGGGAGCTAAGCCCCCTGAAGCAGTACACGTGAAAGCTACTAATAAACCAAGACCCTACTGCCCTTACTGCGAGACTAACGATCATTATCTTAACTCATGCGATTTGTTCAAGAGAATGACAGCTCACCAGATCGTCACATGGATCAAGGACAGTAGGAGATGTTGGAGATGCGGGAGGACCCATGCTGTAGATACCTGCAACCTCAAGCGTTCATGTAAGGTATGCAAAGAGTTGCACCTCACAGTCCTACATGACTTAAGGACACCTCCAGCATGGTTCTCATGGTAAGCCTACCACCTACTAGAGTTTACCTGGACCGACCAAACCGCTCACAGAAGGTTATGCTCAAGGTTGCGAAGATCCTTATCCACAATGGTCATCGTAGTATGGAGGCTTATGCCATCCTCGACGATGGATCAGAACGAACCATTGTTCTACCTCAGGTTGTACAGCAGTTAGACCTCACTGGCACACCCGAAACACTGTCTTTGCAAACTGTCCACCAAAGGGTCACTCAGCTTGGTGGTTTATGTGTCTCCTTTGAGGTTTCTTCTTTGGACAGCCCAAACGAGAGATACCAGATCTCAGATGCCTTCACTGCAGTTGGATTGGATTTGGTTGATCACACCTATTCAGTAACTGCACTGCAGAAGAAGTATCCACACCTCAGAGGATTACCGCTGCCCCCAGTCGACCATGCACGACCCCTTCTCCTGATCGGCTCTGATCTACCGCACCTTCTGACTCCTGTGCAGCCAGTACGCAAAGGGCCTGATGGGGGACCAGTTGCTGTGCGCACACAGCTTGGATGGTCACTACAAGGTCCTGCAAGCTCCATCCAGGACACAAGGGGTGTGCAACAATGCCTGCATATAACCACAGCTTCTCCACCCAACGAGCTTCACCAACATGTGGAGCGGCTTTGGCGGATCGACATCCTGCCCTACAGCGAAAAGGTCATCACCAGATCAGCATGCCTACACCCTGCTTCAGACTGCTACTGTGAGAGTAGAAGTGGAGGGTGTCCAGCGCTACGCCACCCCGCTATTGCGGCAGACTCCAGCCACTTCTCTGTACACGGTCAAGGAAGCCCTACTCCCGAGTATACGTAGCACTGAATGTAGGCTCATCAGAGACCCTAGG